GTATATGTATGAATCGGTATGTATATGTTAACATTGATCTATGAAATGTGACAAAACGTAAATATTGATTCACATAATAAAATCTCGTTGTTGTAGCAACGGAACGTATATCAGAGAACATGCACATCGTCGCGAACGAGCCATCGCTCGCATTTTACAGGCTGCAGGAGCACGTGAGAAAAGCTCTGCCACCGATGGTGGAGAAACGAGTAGAGGTGCTGGCGCTACAACAACAATTGCTAGGCAGATGCTACGACGTGGAGTACGCGGTCAGCGCTATACGAACGATGCAGGGTGCTGGGAAGAGCTTCGAGAATACCCTAGAGTTCATTAAGAACGCTATATTCTTTAAGCAGCAGCTCAAGTACGAGGAGCAAAGGCGACACAAGAAGGACGGCAGCAAAGACTCTGTCTACAAGAGACTGTCGGCGCATATCCCGACGCTGGATCACCTACCGGACGAGATATCGGACGTGGTACGGGAGACAGCGAATCGCGTGGAATCGATGATGAATCATGCCCGTCACTCGAGCGATATACAACGATCGACCACCACCCACAATTAGAAAGATGAAGGAAAGAACGCTCGGTTTTCTGTGATAATAGCTCGCTCATTCGCGAATTTTATACATGTAGATGCACGTAATGTTATTGCTGTAATAAACATGATATGCTGTAATTAACATAAATATTTCTACCCTTGCTCTGTCGTGACAAGTATCATTATTCTATCCGTATCACTATTCTATCGTAATATCTGTTATATTTGAATATAAATGTACATTTTTAATTGCGACTCGAGTTAATACTGCATTTCTAACGACATTACTGATAACAGCATTATAATTTTTCTTTCATATAATTGTAGAATGTTTTTGTTGTAGAATGTCATTTTTTTAATTAATGTCGAAATGTGTCTCGGTAATTTTATTTTACTTTTAAATTGGACAGAAGAGATTTGTATTTTTTTAAGGAGCGTACATTGATTAATTTCACGAATAATATTGCATACATAGTAAAATGATACTTTATATTTTTTGCTTCTAGGAATACATTTGCGAATAAAAACACAGGCAAAAACGTCTGTCTAGTGAATAATTTATGTGTCTTGTCATGTAGAATTTTTATTATTATATATAAACGTATAACAAATATGTTTTATAAAAATATATAATAACGAATAATAATCTTAATTCTCTGATATAAAAAAAATAAATATAAGTTCGTCTCTTGCGAATTAGCGCTGTATTATGTGCGCGATAAACTTCAATATTATTAAATTGCATCTCTCGTATTTAATTAACAATTCGTACAATACGAATTATTAAAGTTTATGGCAAGACACATAAATTATTCGCTAGACAGACGTTTTTGCTTGTGTTTTTATTCGCAAATGCATTCTTAGAAGCAAAAAATATCATTTTACTATGTATGCAATATTATTCGTGAAATTGATCAATGTATGCTCCTTAAAAAAATACAAATCTCTTCTGTCCAATTTAAAAGTAAAATGAAATTACCGAGGCACATTTCGACATTAATTTAAAAAATGACATTCTACAACAAAAACATTTATATGAAAGAAAAATTATAATGCTGTTATCATTGGTATTGTACGAATTATTAATTAAATACGAGAGATGCAATTAATAATATTGAAATTTATCGCGCACATAGTACAGAGTTAATTCCCAAATGCCAAACTTATTATAATTAAATTTTTTGATAATAAATAATAATAATCATTATTTTAATTGCAATTATTAATAATGATATGATGTAATATGATTAAATAAGACTATATATATTCGTAAAAATCATAAAATATTGTATTTGCTATCGATTATTTGTATCATTCAAAATATTACGTTAAAATAGGATGTAATTTTTACAAGTATTTAAAAAAAATTTCCGTAGTGCCGGTTATCGACGGCATCATATTTCTCTGTAATCATCATAATGATAAATACCTATACGTTAATCATTCATGAAACAATACAAAAAACGCGGGCTAGAGATGTACCGACCTAATTCTGGCGGAAAGGATGCTACGATCAATACATGACGCAATACGTTTCTAAAATGTCGTGTAGATGTCGTAATGAGAGAGTTCACACTTCGGACAATCGGTCTACATAAAGTGGCAATAAGCTGCATTGAACCGCTTGGGCTTGCAGACCTTGCAGTGCGGTATGGGTGTAACAGCGTGATCAGATGCCGGGAATATGAGAGTTGATTAAAGGAAAGCACCGGAGGGGTGGCGTCGACTCGCGGTAGACGGCACCTCCTTGATGATATCATCTACTTCTCGGTATATCGTAACGTAAGTCAATCGTTAGATCTGTTTTTGTTCCTACTAGACTGTACCAAAACTTTCTTCCTCGCTTTCACCAAATAACAAATATATATATCTATTTCACTTTAAGTTCCAAAAGTGTACACTTTTTCAAGTTCAGTCACAAAAAAAACAGACCAATTGTTTGCTCTCTCTGCCCGTATAGGTTATGTGGTTTGATGGACTGTATAACGCTTGATGTAAAACACTTATTTATCGCACGTGCTAAGAATGCAATCTCTGCACAGGCCGATGCAGAATGCATTTATCAATCAGCTGATCGGTCGACGAGTGGATTTTTCAGACTTAGACAATTTAATTGACAGTCTCGGTAACGATGTGTCACACTCTTTTACCAGTTTTACTCTCCCTTCTGTAAAAAATTTAAAATCGTTTGACTATTTGAAATCGAACGATGGATTTTGCTCTATTTTTGTAACAATCTAGACGACTTCGATAAAACTCTGATAAATTTAATTCGACCGTTAGAATTGCTTAACAAAATCTCTGATATACAATAGTTGATTATTTTTAATTTTTCTATACATTAAATATGATTTTATTAATTAATTTAATAGCTTTATTCGTATTAGTGCTGATTTATTTAATTTGAGTTATATCAAAATCTCTCTATTACGGTCTAATTTCATTAATATAAGATTAATAAGAAGATTAATCTCGATTCAATGTACTCTTTTTTTTTTCTAATTCTATATAAAAATCTTATATTGATGAAACCAGGAAATCAGCCTTAGAATTAGAAAAAGATAAAGAATAAATTGAACCAAGAAAAACAATTAATCTTACATTGGTGGAACCAGATTTGTGTCCATATCATATAGATCAATTTTAATCTCGATTTAATTTCCTTTTAACTTATTCTGATTCTCAGAATCAGAAATCGAGATTAAAAGTAATCTATACGTTGATAGAAATGGGCATTAGACATCATTTTGCGTTCTTTCTACTTTCTTTTAAATACTCATAACTTCCTTTAATTTTGGAGAATTTTTGTTAAGCATTGCGTGCTTGCACATTCTCGCTTTTACAACAATTATATTCCTATCTTAGATATTTGAATAGATATTTGCATTATATTACATGTTCTGTATATTCTTAAAAATTTATTGTTTTACAAAAGATAAGAGAAAAATATACTGAAATTTTCTCAGATTTGAAAAAAATTGTATAACATACGTATTTGCTACCAAAATTGAGTAATATCGAAAAACAACATGAGATAAAAAATAATGTGTCAAAGTATAGACAAAAACTATGAAGTTTCAATTTTCTTGGTCTTTATAAGTTACTCATATAATTTTGAATGATAATATGGAATAATCTTTAGCACAGTAAAGTCGACTTTTATTATATATTGTTCTAAACTTTTGTGAGATTTAAAGTTGAACAAAGTTTACTTAATACTTATTCGCGCGCGCGCGCGCGTGTTCCAAGCAGGGAAAAAATTTCAGCGTTACATTCGAATTAATTATTACAATTGAAAATCGTGTGTCTCGCGATCTTGTGGTGATTTAGAGCTAGGATCTTATTTTCGAAAAATGTCGCATGTAAAAATAGAAAACTATAATATATGTAAAGTATTTGTTAAAAGAGATAACATTGTATGTTTGCGAAAATTTTCCGAAGGTCACTTGGAATAATTTGGTTGTGTCGGGGACACAACTCTCATTTTCCCAAGAAATTTAATGCAGTTAGATCTTACAAGAATCGGATATCTATTTAAGATTGTGAATTTTGAGGGGATTACAATAACGCGATTTTTTAAATTCCGAAGTCAAACATGATCACAAATACACACACACACACACATACATACACACACAGATCCAAACACAACTTTTTTTGCGTTAAATGAATTTTTTATTTAACAAATTAAATAAATTACATTTTTTTTTAATTTACTCCACAATCGAAAAACAGAAATTAGAAATCATTGCAAGGAGAAATTTTCTTTTACATCGACAATCCATCTGCATGATTTGTTTATGAAATTTTTTACCTTTATCTAATTCTGTGTAGCAAGCTTTCCAAAGAATTTAAGATAGCGATATTAAAATGAACTTTCAGTGACGTATTAACATCAATATTTTCAAAAGTGGTCATCATATTATCCAATGTAATAATAGTTTCCAGCTCGATGTTTCTTTGAGAAATTTTAAAAATACGCCCCTCACGCAATTTCATGCGATGTAATCATTTATATTCAGATATTCATCGAAAGTGTTATTAATTTGTGGATATCTGATGGCCTGTTAAATACTTCTAGAAAAAATTAAAATGCATAACACATAAAAAAATTAGAATCAGAATAAACACCTTGTAACTATTGCAAAAAAATAGTATATTTTTTATTTTGGCTGCACTTAATGTCGAATTAATTTAAAAAAAACATTAATGTAATTTATTTAATAAAAAAATTATCTAATGCGGAAAAAAGTTATATTCTGCATGCGCGCGCACGCGCGCATTTGTAATTATATTTGGCCTCAAAGCCTTAAAAATCGCGTTATTTGTATCTTTCAAAATTCACAATTTTAAATCAATGTCTCATTCTTATAAGGTTTAATTTTAATCGTCAAATTTCTTGGGGAAATAATAAAGAATTGCTTTTACGACACAACCAAACCCACGTGATATCTTTTAAAAATTTTGAAGGGCACATAGTTAACGTTTGAATTTAAGATAGTCAGTATCAAGTTTTTGAAACGCATGCGCAAACAGTTGATAACGATGTTTTTATACGGTTTTCTCTTTTTCCAACGGCTATTGTCGAGCTCACCATTACGTGTAGCTGTAAGAACTGATTTTACTGTTTCGTCATGTTAAAGGTTGGTAAAGATTATTATAAATTTGCTTAACTGTATAATGTATGATTTCAGAAAATATGGTATGCGATATTAGATTAATATGATTTTTAAAATATCAGCATATCATATTAGCGTGTTTATCAATACGAATAAGTTCTCTTGCTTGATGTATCAAAAGTTTATATATTCTTGTTTTTTCAAAAATTTTGTATTAATCATTTACGTAAATATTATACGTATATTAATAACTTGAAAGCTGAAAACTTAACTTTACTACAATTTATTATGTTTAAAAGTTTAAAACTATTCGAATATTTTACCATAGTATTTTCATATGCATTATTTTTCGAGAGTAAGATCTCGGTTTTTACGTATGTAATAAGATTTCTGTTTTTTGCGTACACTTATTAGGATTGGAAAATAATTTGTAACGTCGTTACAATACCATATTATCCGTATCCTTTTGATAACGATCATTATTTCTTTTTTCGCTA